AGGGGATTGTTTATAAGTACAAGTGTACTTACTTAATTTGCTGAGATTTGCAGTACAGTGTACACACTATCACTACAAAGCCGGAGCTGGTTCACAAGGTGTTTCTCGCTCGAGATACTAGTATGAACTGAAATACTAGTATGAACTGAAATACTAGTATGAACTGAAATACTAGTATGAACTGAGATACTAGTATGAACTGAAATACTAGTATGAACTGAAAAAAAACAACTGCTAGACTATGATTTAAAATCAGTTGAATGAACACATGAACCGTAGCATTTGTTAATTGTTCAAAGATCCATTTTACTTGATAAAAGTAGATTTTTAAACTACTGAGGCCGAATTTAAAGAATTTGAGCCTCGGCTTAAATTTAAGATGCGGCTCAAATTTGGTTGGTTCCACTTAAAATTTTGTATTCAATGTTTCAAGATTTAAGCTGGCGCTCAATTGAAACCGGTTTTTGGTAGATTTGAGACACGGCTTAAATTCATTAAATTCGGACTCTGAAATGGTAAAACTATTTGTTTAATAACATCAAAAACAAAAGATATTGCTAAAATACTGTAGTACTATAAAACAGTTATATCATTTTGGAATTTTTGAATGATCAAAATTTCTTTAGTTTTTATTTACAGTGTACACAAAGAGAACCTTGTCACAATTAAAATAGTATTATCATTTAGTATATTATTATTCTATTATTATTTTACTAGATATACTGCATGGAAGAAGTCTATGTAGAGCTTTATGGGATTATTACAAGATATCTGGACATATTGAAGGCTGTGAAATACTTAGTGAAGAGGTAGAACTCCACATAATCTAATTGGTATATAATCCTCTTAAAGGGACTCCAGACGTAATTTTAAGTAGCTATTTATTTATGAAGTTACATGAGCGATTCACAACGGTACGTCAAGTTATTTTTATTTTTTTAGTTCATTTTTACTTAAAAAATATTTTTTTCCAATAAAGATCATTAATTTTCCCCTATTTAGCGTAAAAAATCCTAAAAAATTATATAAAAAACCCTTTTTAACTTTTGGGGGGAAATGATTTTCTAAATGGGAGGGGAAATTGATTTTTTATGAGAATATATACACCCCGGTATTACTAGGATATGTTGAATCAAGGAGAACCTGAGAAAATATTAGAGATCAGTGAGTTCTCAATGCTTAGACTCAATGATATTGCGGAGCAAAGGTGAGCAAAAAAAAAATTAAACATTATGAGAAAAAAAAAAATTTATTTGAAATAAAAACGAAAACATCATATACATGTTTCATACAGTAACTTATAACGTACCTCAAACCTAATTTTTAATCGTTGTAACTTTGCATTCTAATCTCGTAGATCATTTTGATATTTCAAATTATGTTCTGTGCTACATCAAATAGTCAAAGTTTGAACAATCTAAAGTATACCACATCAAGATGCAAAACTAAAATAATTAAAAAATAGAGTAACTGGCGATTTATCAGATTCTTTATCTGTTATTTTTGCGTCAGATTTGAAAGGTATAGTCTTTCGTCGACCTCTAACCTAAATTCTTTTATTTAAAAGATCTCCAAATTTATTCTTAAACATATTTCTAGTTTTCTTTGTATTTGTAGAAAGCTGTATTCCTCTTTCGACGATATAATGTACCCTGACACTGATCATTCCGATTGTGAAGAAAAAGAAAATAACGGTAATTATGGAGAAAAGAATTTAGGGAAAAATAGAGAGTGCAAATTCCCAAGTCTGTCCTAGCTGCAGCGCTCGACCTGCTGCACCTCAGATAGCCTAACCTAGCCTTTGGGATTGGGAAGTTGCCGCTTGGGAAATTGTCACTTGGAAAGTAGTCCTTGGGAAAATACCCAAAATTGAGTTTAAATGGTGGCATTATTTTTCCTAATTTTATTATGAGGGAGAATTAAAAATTTGAATATTTTGAAAAACTATGTTCAACTTCAGATGTAAATTAGTATTTTGTGTGTTCCTTAACAATTTAGATTGGAACATATGTATGGAGATCGTTAGTCTTGAAAGCTTGATCTCAATATTGATCATCCAATATGGGCACTTTTATATTTGAGGATAAATGTTTGATTCCTCAATTAAAAGTAAACCTTCAGATTATCGAAGAAGAACCATAGACAATTTCTTACAAGAAATTGAGCACTTGCCATAAACTCTAATGTTAAAGAATTCCCTCCTAAATTCTTGCAACCTGATATTGTAAACATTTGATATTTCAAATTTTAACTTTTGTATCAGGAAAATTAAAATTTTAAAATATGAAAGAACTGCGGTTGCAAAGAAAATAGACTTAAAAAATTATATTTTAAGACAAGTATTAAGTTCGATTGTTTTAGATCAGAATATGCGGATACTGAGACGAAGGGAGTCTCCTCCTACAGACAGCTTTCCAACTGACAGGTACAGGATACAATATAACGGGACTATTTTAAAGGAATTGAGTCTTTGCAGCTAAATCAAATGTTCTAATCCTTATATCTTTGCTACCTGTTGGTGTAAACTTTGAAATTTTAAACTTAGATTATTTGATCTAACATAATTTCGAGTTTTAAAAATCTAAGGTCTACGACATTGGGTTGCAAAATTATAAGGATTTGAAAATCGGAGTTTGTGGCAAAGAATAAAAATTAAACAGAATACATTTGTTTATAAATTTGCAATATCACATCCTTTTGTTATTTTTTTATTTTATTATTAGTTTGGCATATAGCAATAAATGATTTACTAATTGAGGGTTTATTTCAAGTTTATATTAGGATGAACCAAAATTCAGGAGTTAAGGCTTTTCTTAGATTTATTTGAAATTTTATCTTATTCTATAGGTTTAATGGATGATTTTAATATTTCAATAATTGAGCTAAAAAAATTTAAAATTTTATTTTTCATTAGTGATGATTTAATTGCTAGAGACATAGAAGAGTTCGAAAGACAAAAACATCATTTAAAATCAAACTTGAAGGTACGCTTTTATATTCAATTTAACGACAATATTGAAACGAACGAACAAATCAATTTTTTTGAACGATTGAAAAATAACAAAATGGGTCGTTAACGAATGATAAACAAACGAAATTAAAAAAAAACGTGGCCATTTCTAAATACAACACTGGCACAAAAATGTATGTATATATGATGAGTTTATTTAAAATATCTGCATATTGTATTTATTTTGACATTTTATTTAAAACATTGAAATTCATATTATTTTTACATTAAAGGAACTCAGTACGTAATTTAATATGACCTATTATTTTTTAAGTCATATGTGTCATTCACTGAGATATCCTTCTATTTCTCTCAGAAAATTTATTTTTCTTGTTTTGTTTTGACCTGCAGATTTAAGCTACACAGAGACATAGAGTGGATATAGTAAGAATTTAACACATTTTAAAATAGAAGATTGATGAGATTCTGCTATTTAGATGATGGTTTAAAAGGATACTATCCCTTTACAATGTATATACCAAATAGATGATCAAGTACAATAGGTGGCAACAGATAAAAAGACCGATTATACATGACGTCACAAGTGTCAAATATAACAAGGAAGACAACATTTTCTCCCATTAGTTGATATTTTTAGCCAAGATTAAAAAAGTATAAAAACAGAAAATAAAGAACACAAAACTTCACTTATTTTACTGAAAGATAAGCACTTTAATATTACTGTTATTAATAATTCTGTTGGAGACATAAAACTGTTGACACTTGTGACGTCAGAATAAAGCTGTACTGAGAGTGTACACACTCTACGTTGCCATCTATTGTACTTGATAATCTATTTGGTATATCCCATCTTAACAGTAAAAATATAAATTTGTATTTAGGAATCTGCGTTTTCTTTTACTCAGTTTTTAGAAAACTATAATTCCTCCTCGGCAATGTCGTCTTCATCAAGTACCTGGCCCAGCTCGGAGCTGGCTGTAGTAGGCACAGAGTTATTTTAAAAAGAAAAAATCCCCATTTTACCAGATTACGTATTAAATGTAAATTTATGAAGTATTTAAAATATTTTAACCTTTTACTAGTACCTGGCCACCCTCCAAGCAAGCTGGCTTTGGTAGATATGAAGTAATTAATAAAGTTTTAGAGAAAGGGAATTTATTCAGTCATACGTCCTCCAATTTAAAAAAAAACTTTATCTAGAAAGATCTTAAATTTCTAAATTTAAGAAAGTAGTTAAAGCAATCATTTTATTCAATAAAATGGTCTGTTAACAATGTCTCATGTTGACATTCAGAGGCAAATCCAGACTCGTCTTTTATCTTATTTAATGAATAATCTATGTTTTCCACTTGTTCTTAGGCCACATTGGGTACTTACTTAGCCCTGGAGATAAAAAATAAGCCTCCCCCCCACCCGACAATCTCCTGAGCACGCCCCTGTCAAATATGTATGGTATGGTAATTATTAATTGGAATCGAACTTAATATCAAGAGTGAACAATATGGCTAGGTTGATCGTTGTGCTATAAAAAAACATCGGCTCAATTCATTCTCTTTAAAATAAATCTGTGATTGTGTAGGGCATGGCATGGTCCGACATAGAACAGGAACTACAGATATTAAACAGAAAAAAGACATTTTGAGCTCAGAGCAAGAAATATAACATACTATGCTTTTAGGGCGCTTCGCGCCCATCTTCTTTTTCAACTCTTAATTGTAGCTTTATCTGTGAGCATCATCTATTTGTACAGTTTAAAATTTTTAAAAAAAATTTGCGGATTTCATAATATTTTTTCGCGCATTTTCAAAATTTTACTAAATTAAATAATTTAAGATAAAAATATTTTAAGATTACATATTTAAAGTCTGATTGGCCATAAACCTTACCTAAGGCCACGTGAGGTCTCACACAAAATTTTGGCCTGATCGGTTTAGCCGTTTATTGGATACAAACAAACAAACAGACAGACAGACAAGCCAAATTTATATATAGATATTATCTTTATCTATATTATATAATTATTATTTATATTATCTTTTAAAGTCCGAATAACTCTGTCCTAAAACCTGAATTAAATACAGAAATTCTAAATGCTGGATCTTGTATTAATATCAGTTGAATAGGTGTAGAGGATGGACCTCCATCAAAACCTCTCTCTAGACTTTCATCTCTTGGAAGGTAAACTATTTATTTCCTTATTTACCAAATTACGTAGTTTCAGGAATTGTACATCCTATTACCAAATTTTAGGTGTTATTGTAAGAACTTTTAAAGAAACTCTGAGTGATATTTTAAGAGACATGAGAATCCATTTGACCTTTTTATTTAAGCATTGAATTTGTAGATTCTTTTCACACACCATTATTATCAGAAAGAGGTCACTCAGACCGAGACAACTCTGAGAGTTAGTCATCAAATTAGACAACACCTTGACCTTTGGTTTTACTTCACAACTCACTTCTAGATTAAGGATTAAAGGATTAATTGGCTTAATAGTGCTCAATACACGGTGGACTAAGCCAGTGGGGTCAGTCAAATAGGCCTAGGAATAGGCCAGGTACTGTAAAAAGTCTGAACGCGCCATGGGAGTTGTCATAGTTAGCCCTCCGACAGGACTATGCTAAGAAAATTGACCCCTGTCGTATGTTAGTCTGGTTAGGGCGACGTACTGTACCATAGGATCGGGTCAGTACACTCTGTTATCTGGCAGGCTGTTATACAAACTGGGCAGGTCCTGTTAGAATTCATATTTACGACGACCCAGAGTGAATATTGTATGAGAGTGTACATATCTTGGTTTGCAGTGAGATTATATGGAATCATTTACAGGATACTGCAAATTGACTTTAAGATACATGGTGTTGAATCAATCAACAAAAGAAGATTAAACTTTATTTTTATTTTTAAATCTCTATATCTTAGCAAACAGACCTTTGATATTTAAAACTTTAAATTCTGTTAGATCAAATATCAAAAATCTTTACTTCACACAATTAAGTTGAAAAGATATAGGGATTAAAAAATTAGAGCTTATTGCAAAAACTCTTCTGTTGGTATAAATTAAGCATAAGTAAAAAATGATATTTTTTAATTTCATAATTGAATCTTTATATTTAGTTTGTTAGAGTTTAGTTCATATAGTTCCAATGCCACTTGTAATCAAGGTTTCATTGTGAACCCTCTTCATCCAACTCCTAACCAGGTTATTTACAACCAGATTATGAAATATGAAGAAAGGACAAGTATATCCAGTTCAATTTCATAGACAAGACTCAAATTATGCAAATGAGACAAGATTTTGACACTTTGCATTACTTTGCAAATATCGTGTTCAATTTTTTAACCCTAAAATAAAAGGATTATTTTCTTAACTTCAAACCAAAATTAATTAAATTTTTAGTTTGTAAAATATAAATTATTTTAAAGTTTGAATTTTTATTTTTTTAATGTAGGACTTGTCCATCTATAGAGGATCCAGGGAGGTTAGACTAGTGGGTGGTGGAGGAATAGTAGCAGCAGATAGGTAAACAGCGTTGCATTGACACAACATTTCCTCTAAAAATTTCAAAATGTAATTTATCCCAAAGGCATAACATAACTAAAATCAATAATTGTGAAATTGATGACACTTTAGTTGATAAAGGTTATCGCAATTTTAAACCTAAAAGAAAAATTACTATTAGTAAGAAAGGATTGAGTGCTCCCTACTCCCACTGCTTAAGTCGACCAAGCAGTTCCGGGTTTTCAGATTCATCTTTTCAGAATATACAACCAAGGTGAACTTTTTGTGTGTACAGATTAATTGATGGGTTGGTTCCATGTCACATTGGTCCTAAAATCATTGGTTCTATACACTAGAAAACTAAATACAAAGTAGCAGAGTTTGTTCTCACAATCTCAATAATCTACCATGCCTGAGGCCGAATTTGATGACTTTATGCCGTGGCTCAAATTTGAGACGTAGCTAAAATATGGTAATTGTAAGCAATGTTTCAAGATTTAAGCCAGGGCTCAATTGAAACCAGTTTTGGCGGATTTGAGAAACGGCTAAAATTCATTAAATTCGGAATCTGGAAATAATGTTTCCAATTTACTTTAAATTTTATTTAAAACACAAACAACTATAATTTGAGTTGGATCTAGTTGGAAAGGTATAGGGCATGCATCAGTCAGAGTATTGGACTTGATTTCAGAGGTTTTGGACTCCCTTGTCAAGTCCTACTATTAGATGAGGTTTTCAGTCCCACAGGGATATCTGGATGAAAGTATGAATGATATGCTGAATATCTAGGGCACATGAGGTTGGAAAAATGAATGATGAATCAAAACCTGGTCCTGTCTCATACCTAGTTCTAGAACTCAATAATCATCAGGTTGAAGAAATTATTAATCATTATTTTGTTTAATTTTAGAATATCTGAGCTGAGATTTTAATAGTCTTAGCCTGAGAAAATCCTGGCTCTAATTGGGTTTGCTAATTCTAGATTCTTTACCGAGGATTGTACTTTTTGTAAAAACTGATATATTTATATTCATATTCTCAAAACTGATTTGTAGTGTCAACATTGGTTATCTAAGGTTATTCGGTTTGAATAGCCAAAATTTACAAATTACGGAATTTATACCATTAGCCAAATCATTTTTTTGTTCAACCAATCAGAAGCTATCAATTTTGGGAAAGCAGAGCCCAAACAGGGCATATGAAGGTCTAAGGCATAAAGATAGAACTTCAGGATTTGTTTCTAAAATATTGGCTCTTATTTCTGTAACTAAGATATAAATATTCTTAATTTTTTTGATTGATTTGGCAAAAACAACTTTCAATCAATTAATATACAAATTTTACATTTTAAATTGTTTCTACACTGTACATATATATACATACATTGTACATACATCGTAAAACAGACCTTTTTTCTTTAAATCATCATTCTTTTCAGGAGGCTGTGAATAAATATTTATCTGGAAGGTATTTCTTTCATAAAAATTGACATTTTCTCAAATGCAGATTATCTTTTAAATATTAAGAACATCACCATTTTAAATATATATCTTTGTGCACCATCAGTGTGTCTGACATCAGAGTCAGAATTTAATGAATTTAAGCTGCGTCTCAAATCCCCTAAAAACCGATTTCGATTGAGCCCTGGCTTAAATCTTGAAAGATTGAATACAATTTTAAGTGACACCAACCATATTTGAGCCGCGGCTTAAATTTTAATACTTTAAATTCGGCCTCTAAAGAGTAATGTATTTTTATTGAATAATTGTACAATATTATGGCATTAGACACAATTTTGATATAATTAATGGTTGTCTAATGTTTTTGTAGAAAAAGTGACCAACTAATGCAGAGACAAAAGTCTGGACGAAGAATTGGAAAGATAAAACTGTAAAAACTATTTTTGAAATAAACTTGTAGACATCTATTCATAAAAAGTTTAATGTTCAACCTAAGTAAATTCATTTATCCCATGATACAAAGCAACAGGGAAAACCAAGATTGAAAGAACAAGCACTTATTCATCTCATTCAAAAGTTACCACGGTGGATATTGAGATCAAGTGCAGTCGATTAGTTCTATATACAACACAATAGATTCTTGGTTAAGTCCACTAAAACTGTAAATCAATATCATTCAATATAAAAAATAATTTAAATATTGACCTGGAAACTGAGTTCCGGTCCTTGGAATCACTAAACAGTGATCCAATTTTCAAAATATGGATTTTTATTATTATCCAGTTATGATATATGGATTTTCATTATTATCTAGTTTTCAAAATATGGATTTACATTATTATCCAGTTTTCAAAATATGGATTTTCATTATTATCCAGTTATGAAATATGGATTTTCAATATTGTGAGAATGTTTACCAAAGGCAGAAACTCAACCATCAATGAGTCCTTGGTTACAGTAATTGCATGAACACCTTGATGGAACCTGGTTCAGAAAATATTCAAGTCAAGGCAAGGATATATAATATAGAACCCTCTAATCATCTGTAAGCAAAGTGCTTACTGTCCGGGAAATTAAAACAAACTCTGTGCTTCCAAAGTTCTCAAAGTTCTCAAAGTTCCATAACTTCTTTTAAACTAATAACCATTATAAGATTCAAACTTATTATTTTCCTTTTGAAATAATATTTCTTAAAATTTCCTTTCCCCCCTTTTAAACCAATGTCAGACAAGAACCGAAGCTCTATCATAAATACTAAGCATTGTTCACTAGAGGGGCACATGAGAGTAAATTATTGTAGACATTTTGAAGCTCAACGTTAGAGTTTTCTATTTAAACATAGGTATGACATGCATTATTCAAAAATGTATTTTGTTACAAATTGATCTTAAAAGTTGTTCAGTTAAAGAAATAAGCTCATAACAAATTCAATTTTTTTAATCCATAAATCTTAGCAACATCATGTTTACACCATCAGTTTCCAAAGATTATATAGATTTATACTTAAATAATATAAGAGCTGTTATGTTCTTAATTTCCAACTGTCTACAAAGGTTTTCATTAATATTTTCTTAAAGTATGGTATGGTAGGTAAAGGTAGCTAAACTATAATAAATTAATTGATTGAAAGTTTTTGATGAATTTTTGTTGAGGTTATCAAATAGTTTTTTAAAATTTAATCTGGAGAGCAAGTGTCAATAATGATGCCTCCTTGTGAATTGACTGCTAGTTTTTAGTCGTATGTAGCTATAAAAAGGTATTAAATGAATCCATATTCTGCACTACCATACCTTACCTATCACGCCACTTCCTTTTCCTAGTTAAAATCTTCCACCGATCACTATAAGCAGGTTTGAAGGTTCAATATGTATACTCCTCCTGTTAAGGGTGGTTTCTTTGCCACATCTAGCAAACCCTGGAGAAGGATTCTTACATGCCTAGAGTATTCAGGATTCATCTTTGGAACCCCCTGGATAGGACGGGTCTTTGCCTTCCTCATTAGTGCTTTACATTTAGGAAAATGAATTAATAAGTAGATTAAATCTAATAAGTGGTTTTGACATGCAAGTTCAGTTCACATGGCTAAACAATTTAGTAAAAGAAAACTGGTTAAATGTCACAAAAATTCTAAAAAGAAAAAAAAACTGTTAAATGTCTCAAGATTTCAATATTTAAAAAAGTTTTTTTTTCTTGCTCTTAGCTCTGTTCCCATGTTAATACATCTATGATAGCAAGCATAATGAAAGCACTACATTGAAAAAGATGTAGTAGTAATCATATTTGGTTTAATGCTCAGAATTGTAAGATATGTTTGTGCTCAGAAAGATAATCTGAAAATATTGAATTAGATAATTTAGAATAATTTCAAGTTTGTAAACTAATCTGTTCAGCATTATTCTTCTGAATTCATAACATGTTTCAGATTAGAAACATCAGAATTAAAGTTGTTTGACCCAGAAATAATCCTGTCTGGCATAGGAAATTTCCATTGGATAGTAGCACTCTCAGTATGGTGACTCACTCTGCTGAGTAGTTCAAATGAAATCTTAAGAATAATAATCTGAAAGAGCAAATAGGCTCCAGTAACAAAGTTTGAGCTCTCATCTGACTGGTGCTACGAATAATGAGTGGTTAAAATTTAAAACAGTGCATATTATTCAAATATATATATTTTTTTTACTTTTTATTATGAAAGATTTAAAACATTGGTCAAATCTATACAACAAATTTAGATTTAATTTTCATTTTCTCAATCAATACATGTAAGTAATTAAGATGTTAAACAAGAAAAGGGACTACAAAAGTGTCTCAATTGCAACAAAATTTATAAAAGTTGATTAAGTATCTATACAAAGGAATTAACTCTTTAAAACAAACTCTGATTTTCTAATAACTATATATTTGCAACCCAATGTCCTAGACCTTATTTATTCAGACTATAAATTCTGTTGGAAAGAATAATTTAAGTTTAAGTTTAAAATGTCTTCTTTATCATATTGCAATGTTAAAGTGATAAGAACATTTGAGTTTGCAGCTAAGACTCAATCCATTTCAAGAAGCTTGCTAAAATTGATCATGATTCATATATACAAAAAAATACCATTTTAAATTCATTATTGTTTAAAGGATTTTTTTGTTGGTTTGTCTGGCTTCTGAGTATCAGCGATAAAAACAGCACCAGAACTGTAATAATGTTATATTTTCATATTGCGTTTGAATTTCTGTACATGGCCATGAATTTTTTGCTTAGTTATGTAAAAAAGCATGCTGAAGAATGTTATGAAGAATGTCAGACACCGAGAAAACTTCTAATTCTGGTTATATTCTCCTTTGTGTCTCTGGGACTTGTAGGATCAGGGGTAATAAAAAATAGTTAATTTTCATTCGGTAAAAGCTTTTGAGTGTTCCTGTTATTTTCAAATCCCCCAGTATATTTCTTATTTAAATTATGAAGAATTGGAGATTAAATGTTTATTCAATTCAAAATTTGTATTAACTTTAAAACCAAGAGTTACAAAAAATTTTCCTTTGCGCCCATTTTCTAGTGACAATTCTAAAAGATATTACTCTGAGTGTGGTGGGCTTTAACATATATATAATTTTGTTAGGTAGGGTTTCTGATAGAAAGTTTTGATATTGACAATATAATAGGGACAATAATAAATACATGTCTAACACTGAGCTCACTGACTGGTTTGGTTTTATTTGGAGCTGTTGTCACTGGATTTATTTCAAAAATGGAAAAAATTGATACTTCTAAAAATGTACTTATGGTTGGCCAGCAGCATTTGGAACAATTTCGTCAACTGAAAATTGGGTTTGGACCATACTTGTTTGGTCTATTCTCAGTACACACTCAAGCACTAATTGCAATTGTTTTTTTGGCTGTTGACTACTGGAAATTAGGAGTTGATACTCGTGTCATAGTTGCATTTGTATTTCTCAGTTTGTTCACTGCATTGCCAATGTTATACACAGTCCTGATAGCAAAAGATGCACATTCAAAATTACAGAATATTTTGCCTACTCTAAGGTACTGTATTATTTCAAAGGAAGCATAAATATAAAAGGATAATGCACCTAGAATGAAAGTAATGCCTGAATTCAATATCCACAAAAAACCTTTATTTTGTAGCAATTTGAAAAACTAAATTATATGTATTGTTGTTTTTTGAGTATAATTGAAATCACATTTAGAACTTTATAATTATCAATATATTATCCATTTATTAATATAATACCAAAATGATATTAAGCAACGAAAACATCTTATTTAAAAAAAAGAGTTTACTAAGCACTGTTGATTACTTTAAGCTATGTGGAAGGAACCAGCTCGGACTGGCCATGGTTTTGATTTACAAAGTTCCATTCATTTCCTTTAGTTAACAATTGGGCCTTGAGCTTGATTGTTTGTACGACATTTGTTCTTAACAAGATTGTTCCTTTACAAAAATTGTGTTCTGTTTTTAAAAATCATGAATTCTTCGTTCGTTACCGCTAAGATTGTTAACATTAACAATAACTGATTGTTAACAATGTGTCTTGAATAAACAATGCCTTATATTTTAAGAAGTTGATCGATAAAAATGAGGGAGAAAAACCAGGTGCTTCTTTAAAAAACTCTAGATGTTAATATTTTTAGCATATTATTGCTCATTACCATGCAATGATCATTAACATGTTCAAGAGCCGTTTTTCTATCCAAAACTGTTCGTTCCTTATTCATTAATTCATAATTGTTTCAGTTTTAATTGAACTGTTCTAACTACTCTATTTAATGACCCCCAACCCCAGTCCTAGCACCAGCCAAAAGCCCTTTTTTTACATTATAGATGTTTTCCACAGGAAAGCATGTCAAAATGAGATACCTGACATTAAAATGAATTACTTACTTCTCATTCTGGAGATTCAACAAGAGGTATTTTGGTAATACAAAGAATTCTGTAAAACTAAATGTAAAATGTCTATTCCCTACATGATAGCAAAATCAGTCGGACTTATCACTTCCTTCATTTGTAAAACAAATTAGGGCATCTGGATTTTTAAAACTTTTTTATTTTAAAATTGCATAATTTGTCACAGGATTGTCATTAAAAAATCAAAAAAAAGAAACATAAAGAATTGGACTCTAATCCTCCTGTGTAATTTCACTAATTTTTTCTTTGTTTTTACTTGTGGTTTATTTCATTCATTATCTTTTAGGAAACATTTTCTGGATGTGAATTTTTCCTGATCGAGAAATCTACCTTATTGTCTGTAATTGGTACTATTGTAACATATTCAGTAGTACTTATTACTTCAGGATAGATTACACTTTGATATCTCTGCTTGGCACTATCTATATATAAATTTGGCTTGTCTGTCTGTTTGTCTGTTTGTTTGATTGTATCCAATAAATGTCAAAACGGCTGAAATGATCAGGCCCAAATTTTTTGTGGGACATCCCATGACCACAGGGAAGGTTTGTGAATGATAAAAATTAAAAAATGTGTTTTAAAGGTTTTTAATTTGTAAAAAAAAAAATTCTTGAAAATCCGCAAATTTTTTTTTAAAAATCCGCAAAATTTTTTTCTTCTTTGTTTTAAAATGTAAACAAAAAGAACATGTTCACAATTTAAATAGAAGATGGGCGCGAAGCGCCCTAAAAGCCTAGTTTTAACATATTTGGTAGTTCTCACTACTTCAGAATTAAAGGTAATGTTCACTTATTTGGGCAATTTTATGGTAAACTAATTAGCCTATTAGTCTTACTTTTCAAAGATATCTATGACCAGAGAAAAAGCCAATTTATTGTTTATTATTATTATTAAAGGACAACCCATTCAATGAAATAGGGGTCGGCACTCCTGGCCGCCGAAACAAATCCATGTGCTGACTGAACCTTGTCACCCTATGGGCGAAGACTTATACTAGGCATTCCGCCCAAGACAGCTCAGTTTATGGAGACTCTCTGAAAACCAGGCGGTCTGCCCAAGACAGCTCTGTTTATGGCGAGTCTCTGAAAACCATGCAATCTGCCCAAGACAGCTCCGTTTTTTTCTGGAGACTCTCTGTTTAGAATTACAATGTAAAGCTATGATAACTTTGCATAGACTCTATTTAAACGTTTTTTTCAGTAACTTTCAGGAAATGTTTTATACTCTTTCGGAATCCGCAAAGTTTTATAAGAAAAGAAATAAACTTTAAGGAAAGTTTAAACAGTTTGATCTAAATTTATCATATTTCAATGACATTATGTGTCAGCCATTATACAATAAAATAGAAAAACTTTTGATTTTAGAATTAGCAAGAAATTAACCTTTTTTATGTTCAAACATGATTAAACAAATTAACATGTTTTATACAAAGATGACTTTCTCTCTCAGGCAAACCAGTTCCTATAACCAACTCTTTAATAAATACTTGGAAGTAGTGATAAAACATCTAACAATTACCTATTAAATACTACAATGTAATTTAATATTTAGATTTTTTTTAAATCCATGACTATGTCAAAAAGCATCAAATAGTGCAAGGTATCATACATTTTTACTGGATTTCTGAATGATAAATTGGCTTTTTCTAAGGCCACAGTTGTCTTTTCAAGTAAGTCATAATACCAATGAATTGCTAATAGGGGTAGGGTGGTCAGGAGGGCGGTCATGGTGTGATGTGCCGAGTGGGGTGGGGGTAAGGGTAACAACAACATAAGGACAGTTATAGTGTGAATGTAATACCAGGGGGGGAGGGTTAAAGTGTAGCAGTACTAATAAAATAGAATAAATTAGGCTCTGCTCAGTGGTTAATAAATAAATGACTTGTTTAATCATTTGGACGTCAAAACTTTGGTCATTTGGACGTCAAAAGTTTGGTCATTTGGACGTCCAAAGTGACATCATTTCGACTGCGAAAGTTTGGTCATTAGGACGTAAGAATCCTTGCGTTAAACGTCCTCAACACCTAAAATATGACGTCGCCGGACGTCTCACTGGTAATTTTTGACGTCCCCATGACGACCTTAGGACATCCTCTGGTTTCTAGGGAGTGTTAGCCCCCCCCCCTAGGTTTATCACAATTCACAATAGTAACTTTGACTAATGCATATATTTTAATTTTTGAATAATTATAACTAAAAGTATATAGTCAGTAGGACTCAGTCCCGAAGATGGATAGGATTAGCTCGAACCGTGCATCCTGATCAACACTGCTATGGTCAGCAGCTCCCAGCTTATCATGGCCCACAACTGGTTTATCAAAACTCAAAGATTCCAAACTCTTTAGATGATAAATTATTGAATTGTCTCGTTTGACAAACTTTCCTAAAATGATCATCCTAGGTTTTAATGAGGCTCGTACTTCGATTGGAGTTATTTAAATAATTATAGGAATGGAACTTTGGTTAGATTATTCAAATAAATATAAAATTGATAATTTAAATTACATAGTCTTAGTCAAAACAGCCAAAATTAGCAATGTATCCTGTATAATTTACAAAGTAGTAAAGATTGAAGAGGGTCAGATATGACTTCTACCAAACGTTGTCAGTTTTACTTACTGCTTTTCTCTTTACATAAGTTTACGAGGCTTGATGTAATTCTGGTACCTTGTTCTGGAAAATTCTGGAACGATTTTTCCGGAAACTTTCTGAATCAATATTCAGGGAATTTTGATACGTTCCGGATCATTTCATAATTCTGAAACAGCATTCAGGAAATTTCTGGTTTTGGGGAAAAAGTCGTTTCGAAATTCCAAAACCCTTTCCAAAACGGAAATAATTTCAAGTTCATTTCAGCATGTAAACCATAACCTGGAATTTCGGCGGAAACCCCTAATGGTAGATTTGGTCATTTGAGTAAAGAAAAGTCAGAGTGTCTCAGTTTGTGTGGAAGTATGTCTGTACTCTAATGCAAAAAATGTGTACACTGATAATTTGTACTTCATGACACTAGACATTTAAACTAGTTTTAACATTTTATAAGCAATAAAAATAGAAAAAATGAAATCTCAATTACATTTTCCAACATTGAGCAACACTAGATGATTAAGGAATTTCTGAATAATTGGTTTACAGCCATGGCAAAGCCACCAAATTTTTTTTCACAGCCATGTTTGGCTTTTTATAAAGCCACATTCGCGAAAAGTAATTGTCCCCACAGCCATTTTATAGTAACCTTGAGTATGGAAGACTGCAACTTCAATATTGAAAAATGAATTCAATGTGCACGTTCTTTTTTGGCAATTTATCTCTAGTCATTCCTTAAAATTTATTTGAGTTTTGAATATTTTTACTTTAATGAAAGGTTTAGTTTTGTTTGTTCCAAAAACAGTCTGTTCTTCTATGTGGTAGTGGATGTTCAACATGAAATGTCGTCTTAGATATGTTCATTTCTAACGTCACAATGTCTGTCTGTATGTACCTTGGGGGATATTTTCTCCAACAGTGCAGATAATCTAAGACGACATCACCGTATACCGGTAAATTTTGTAACAACTCAACAGGCAACAGGATTTAAATTCGAATTGATTGTTAAGAAGTAATTTTACAAAAACTGGACAATTCTTGCAACTGATTAAATATTGAGAATCAATCAAATTACGTAAAATTTGTTTGCTACTCTTATTTAAAAAGGAAAAAATTTCCGAAAAGAAACCACGACAGGGAAGAAATGTGTTTTACTAAATAAGAAACAGATTATTTACAGACGGAAACCTGCTTTCTGATAACCCCCCCCCCCCCTCACCCTGGTGCAGGGTAACTCTTCATTATGGAGATTGGGTACACATTATTCCTTTATCTGTATCCTCATTCATGTACTAAGCGGTATTTTCTTACTAAAGTTAATTATTCTCTCTCCCCCACCCACCCCGGCATTATTGTCCATACATTTGTTTAAACTTCTTTTAGCAAACTAGCTGTTTTGACTTTTGTTATACTATATTTAAAGTCATTTTGCATAACCTGTCTTTATTAATATCTTGAATTTTCAGTTGTGATATCATCATTTAGAAAAAAAGAAAAGCCATACAGGGTGTCCCACATTAAATTAGAAAGCGTCAATGGGTCTAAATTACGATTTAAATCAGAAAATGAATCGAATTTTGACAAACTTAGTGAGGCTGATCGAAATTTTTTTTTTTTGCAGAAAATGCTAGATTTTAGAATACTATATGCGTATTTTGGCGTTAAAGATTAGAGATAATGTAATATGATATGGGACGCTCTGAATCTTCAGAACTTTCATCCCCAGACTCAATTAGAGTGAATACAATGGAATTATCTTTCTTTATAATCTGCACGATAGAAACAATCTCAAGAACTGACAAGAGTCCACTGATGAGACCGAAATCTATAATAAAACACGACATTGGTATATATAAATGTGGCGGCTTAACGGCTGGACCAATTGGGCTGAAATTTTTTGTGGACACTCATGGGTGGCGGAGAGTGTTATAGGTCAAAACAAAAGAATTTTTCTCAAAATTTTTATCTTTTTTTTTTAAGGGCAATGCCTGGACCTTTAGCTAGTATTCTATAAAATAAAACAAGATATAATGGGCTGAATTTTTTTTGTGGACACTCATGGGTCGACGGGGAGTGTTATAGGTAAGACAGATTTTTTATTTAGAAAATCCACGGGCAAGGGAGAGTCCTTCAACTTTTTTTTAAAAAAAAAGTAGAATTAACTATTGCACAGAGGCTTGGTCCATCACCATCGACAAATTTTGAAACTACATTGATATTTTATACGTTTCTTCTTCATCTAATGTAGTTTCTTCTCCATTTTTCTCTTTTCTTCCTTTTTACGTTCTTTTCATCTTCATAACAATATGCCGTTGAAAATATTTCATTTTCTTAAAATTTTGCAGAATCTGAAAAAGGATAAATACAACTTTTAATATGTCTAACCATGATGTATTTAAAGTTAATAGTTCAATATAATAATATTGATTAGTATACAGGGGGTAGTATATATATACATATATGGTTCCTGAATGTATTGAATAGCGGTCTAATGGAATATTAAACAATGTATTTTTAAACGTTAACACAGCGCGTGAGCGCCATTTCTAGTCCTAGGAGTTGCTCTTGAGATTTTTATCACATTTTCGGAAACTTTTCGCGCCATTTCGGCACAGCGAGGAATTATCGAGAAAATCGACGAAAATCTGTCAAAATAATCAAATGATAAAGAATCGATATTTGAGAACTATTTTAAGATGAAACAGTGGCAAACAATAAAATAATATAATAAATAATAAATCGCCTCCAAATGCGTCAAGTAGCGAGTGAACCGTTTACCCAGGAATTTCTGAGATTTGGCTGGAAGAATGTGTACAAACTGCGCATACTTGTATATCACTTTAAATTTGTTAATTGTACATTGGCATATTTGTAGTTTCACCATCATTTTGTGTTAACCTTATTTTCTTAATTATCTTTTGTCAAATGTCTCGAAAGTCAAAACTTTCATTTTTTTCCTAGTTATTGTCTCAGTGAAAATCCAGGGCACTTCTGAAAATCTGATTGTCAATTTCTGATATCACAAATGCCGTTTTCAGATATCTCTCTTCTTCTTCTAGCACGGCCCATGTTAAAATAATTCATTAGGAACACAGGCCATGTCGTTCTTCGTGAGGCTGTCGTTTGATATCTGTTACACTGGGACTCATCTTCACGGTATTCTTGGGCAGTTCTAAATCTCCAAATTCTTTTAAAAATCTCTTTGGTTAGTTTAATATGTCTGATGGGGAAAGGGATTGTATATTTTCAGAGGCTGCAGGAGATGAAGAAGGGATTATAGTGTGGTACGAGTTGAGAAAGAGCTTGTATACTCCAATACAAGTGCTGCTAGAGTACGGTAGCGATAAATAAGAGCTTTTAAACTCCTATGCAAGTGCTGCTAGGGTATGGTAGAAATAAAAGGCTTGTATACTCCTGTACAAATGCTGCTAGGGTATGGTAGAGATAAAAGGCTTGTATACTCCTGTACAAGTGCTTCTAGGGTATCGTAGAGATAAAGGCTTGTATACTCCTATACAAGTGCTGCTAGGGTATGGTAGAGATGTAAAAGAGCTTGTATACCACTATACAAGTGCTGCTAGGGTATGGTAGAGATAAAGGGCTTGTAAACCACTATACAAGTGCTGCTAGAGTATGGTAGAGATGAAGGACTTGTATACCACTATAAAAGTGCTGCTTAGGTATGGTAGAGATAACGGGCTTGTCACTGTACAAGTGCTGCTAAGGTATGGTACAGATAAAGGGCTTGTAAACCACTATACAAGTGCTGCTAGAGTATGGTAGAGATGAAGGGCTTGTATACCACTATACAAGTGCTGCTAGGGTATGGTAGAGATGAAGGGCTTGTATACCACTATACAAGTGCTGCTAGGGTACGGTAAAATTAAATGGCTTGTATACCACTATACAAGTGTTGCTAGGGTATGGTACAGATAAAGGGCTAGTAAACCACTATAAAAGTGCTGCTAGAGTATGGTAGAGATGAAGGGCTTGTATACCACTATAAAAGTGCTGCTAGGGTATGGTAAAGATGAAGGGCTTGTATGCCACTATAAAAGTGCTGCTTAGGTATGGTAGAGATAAAGGGCTTGTATACCACTATACAAGTGCTGCTAGGGTATGATAGAGATGTAAAAGAGCTTGTATATGAATAGGAAGACAGGACTGTCTATCTCTAGTCTGAGTATCGATGGAAAGCCAAGATAGAGCATTATATCCCTCCAAAACATATCTAAACAAAAATAATAAATTAATGAAAAAATAGTATTTTATTAGAGGATGTACATTGTACATTGTACAATCCAAAGATGTGAAACAAAAGTATCAAATACATAACATAACTACAAAAGAGCTAAAACCGTTGTAGCACATTGGATTCGCATAAAAATTCTTTCTCGTCAAAACTAACCTCCCATCAACCACCATGTTTCGACCGAATGATCACCAAATTAGAAGTAAAAAAAGGAATTTAATCTTGGTTTCTTCCAAGCTTCAAAAATATTTTTATCTGAAAAATATATAGTTTGACGGTTACCTGAGAACGTCTGTAGTATAATTAGAATCTAGTGAATGAACCCTACAGCTGGCAGACTGTGGAGTAAACCCATCATCTCCTCCATGTGCTAGATTACTGATGTTGATATGCAGGGAGGACTTGAGGAACACCGGGCACACGTTCTCCAGGTGAGGGGCCGAGGACCAGAACCACCGAGGCATAGTTCCGGTTGGAGCAGTGGAGGTTAGGTAGCCCAGAGCTAGAGGCTGCTGGAGGATCTCTAGGCGTTCTCCAGGCTCCTCCTGCCCATATCTAAACAGAACACACAAATAAATCACGGCTATGTTCATCATAAAAACTTTAGAATTCCAATAAATAGGAGGATGGGAAAACTAAGAATTTTAACCGGATTGGAAGGATTATACATTCCAAAGAATATAAAGACACAGAATTGCTTCTGAATCCATTTACAGCTCCATCTTTTAGTCCAAGTGTGTCTCAGAATTTATCTTCGAGCTATCTGAGGAATGCCAACATTCTCCATCTCTTCAAATACGAAAATTGCATTTTTTAGAAAAAAAACAACGCTTTACCAACTTTTCGAAATTGAATCCTTTAATTGCAGCCTTTTAGATTTCTTTGTTTCCGTCATGATTTTACCTCGTATACATAAGTACATAGAATGCCCCCCCTCCCGTGGAAAAATGTATGAAGTTTATTCATGAAATCAGAGCTTTTGCAATATTAATCTCGGGATCTATGAGATATTATTTTAACTTTCCTAATCATTAAATGGTAAACTAAAGGAACTGAACTTTTTTAAAATATGAAAAAAAATTTAAGCCCTATATCTTTGCAACCTGATGATGTAACCGTTGATATTTCAAACGAAGAGCTAATTAACCGAACAGAATCCATAATTGAAGTATCAAAAGTCTTCGATATCGGGGAACAAAGATATAGGGATTTACATCTCCCCCCAGAAGTATGCTGAAGTATACCTGAAGGCTGGATCCTGGCCTGGAAGAGTATGAGTTCCTGTATTTCCAGAACACGAGGTTCCCTCCCCCTCCCTCGGATCCCCGGGGGAATTTCCGCCCCCGCTAGTGAACGGTTCATCGTTAAAAATATCGTTTAGGTCTCCCAGACCGAGTCCGTCATCGTTTCCACTCGGGTTCATCTCGTCGATGTCGGTCATGTCCAGACCAAACCCGAGGTCATCGTTCTCAGGGGCCTCGTGGTGCTCGTTAAACGCAGCCTGGGACGACTGAAAATAAATTGCATACAATTTTGATTAAGAACGCGATTAACTTATGTTAAATCACAAGAGCGCCAAAAAGTCATTCCAATGAAAAATAATCTTTGTAGAGAGGGGGGGCGGGGCCAAACGGTGGTGTATTTTAAAGGGTCAGGGAGAATGATTGGTTTTTGTCACAATACTCCCCTTAAAATGCTTATGTCTTGTGTTTCAAGGTGAGAATATAATAAATAAATTCTGAAAATCTTTTCATTTACAATAATTGTATCTATTGTGACTTGAATTGATTTATAATAATTTAAATTAATAATTACTTTTTACGTTCATAAAGTTATCCTTGAATGGACCCTGTAAAGCCGCAAAATATTTAGATGTCGTCTTTGAAAAGCAAAATATTTTGAAAAGCAAACAAATATTTACTTTATAGCTTTTTTCACACAAAATTACAACGAATTCAGGATAATCTAGTACATTAATAAATGCTAATACCCATTATTAAAAGATGCAGGGGCGCCGCAAGCACGCCAAAGTATATGTTTGGTCTCAAATTCGTACCCATTTTAAGCGTGTTCACGGAAATTAACAGTTTTCTGTTGGAATTTGGAACTTCAGCTCAACATTGATACGTCAAAGAAACTCTTCTCAAAAAATAAATAGCGACCGAGCATTATTTGACTTAAATAATACTAATAATACTCCATAGTACATATACATATAAACCAGTCATTTATATATTTTGAACAACATTCCTTACAAACTGGGGAAACACATATGTATGAAGAGAGGGGGGAGCATATACCCTTTACTAAGTTATTTATATGATACCTGAGCAGTAGCTGAAGTAGGGAAGACTAGTATATGAGTAGCGGTTGCATCCCGAGGAGTAGACAGAGTACACTGGGCAGCACTGGAACCAAACCTTTCATCTGGGGTAAACTGGTCCGCCATCACCCGGAGTACACCGTCAGGTTCAAGGGATACAAGGCACACGGAGAGAAGGGAGGGTACATCGCTCTTCCACGGACATTCATCCTGGATAATATTATATATAAACTACCCCATTGCAAAAATCGCGCATTTTCATCTCAAAAGGCGATAAAATTGAGTACAACTACTTTTCCGGGAAGATTTTACTTTACCACGGGTTCCCTCGACCAATTTATAACCCTTGCTGAAATACTTGTTCTAAATACTTATTAAAACGAGTAAACTTTGACGGTTACAGAATTCTTAAATTTAAATAATCGTAAAAATCAATTCACCTTTAACATTTTCACAGCCTTTTTCAGGGATTTCCTTGAGAGCATGACGGACCAGCCTCTAAGCTCTCCGTGTCCTATCCTCCCCAGCCTCCCTATAACCAGCCTCCAGGGGACCAGGCTCAACGAGACTACAGAGAGGATCCAATCCCAGAGTCGAGATAGACCAACACGCCGGGCACTCGCCTTAACATAAATATATTACTTTCTTAAATAATAAGACCCCATCAAAATATATTTTCCCCTTGATGTGAAAAAAAATGGGTAAGGGGGTAATTTTACGGGGCAATCCTAAATAATGAAAGAACTGTCTGTCTCAGCTTTATTAAGTTTGGAACGGAGTTTCACCCTTTTTCCAAAAGATTTCAAGCTTTTTTTATATTTCATTTTGCCCTCATTACTTTTAAAATACTTTTTAACCATTTTTCGTAATGTTGGGAAAGTCAGCTTGTAATCAGACAAGTAAAAATGGTTCATGTACATAAGTGCATTTCTAAATAAAAAACATAGCATTAACTGCAGTTATCTTACCCTTTTCCGTCTTGTCCGATTAGGTATATCAATATTAATAACCGTTGTCCGGACAAGTTCTCCTCTATCGTCCGACAGACTAGCCAGCAGGTACTTCTGGTCATCCGACAAACAGTACTGGACGAACAGGACCGTACTAGATTATACATTCAAAATAAACTCCATGAATTTTTAAAGAAAATGGTAAAAAAAGCTTTTAAAATAAATTGTTATACTTTCAATGCAGAAAATATATAAAAAGATTGTAGGTAGAGAGAACTTTACTTTGCTTCAATAGTGAAAAAAAAACAAAACAATTTTTTCTTCACTTTTGTAACAGTTAATGATTCCAGAAAAAAAGTAGAATTTCAGAATATTTGAGGAACAATAAAGAAACAGGACTAGGTCAAGATAGTGTCAATCTTTTATTATTTAATTTTCACCTTCTCTCTGTAGTTGACCCAAAGCTATCACCATCACTTGTTTTCTTGTTCTTTAAAGGAGGCGGGGCCAGCACATAAGGCGGGGCATATAAAGATTTCAACATTGTATCCTAGAAAATATAAAGATTTCAACATTGTATCCTAGAAAATATTAAGATTTCAAAATTGTATCCTAGAAAATATGATTTCAAAATTGTATCCTAGAAAATATTAAGATTTCAACATTGTATCCTAGAAAATATTAAGATTTCAAAATTGTATCCTAGAAAATATAAAGATTTCAAAATTGTATCCTAGAAAATATTAAGATTTCAACATTGTATCCTAGTAAAATATAAAGATTTCAACATTGTATCCTAGAAAATATAAAGATTTCAGCATTGTATCCTAGAAAATATAAAGATTTCAACATTGTATCCTAGAAAATATTAAGATTTCAACATTGTATCCTAGAAAATAATATAAAGATTTCAACATTGTATCCTAGAAAATATAAAGATTTCAGCATTGTAGCCCAGAAATATTAAAAATTTCAGAATTATATCCTAGAAATATAAAGATTTTAGCATTAAATCATAGAAATTGGCACTTGATCTCAATTTTTTAAAAATTTGAATTGATGATGAACTAATAATTACCTTCAAGTCCATTCCTTTAAGGAATCTCTGAGAGTTGGAAGCAGGTCCGAAACTTGTTAACGTCTTCGCATTCCGATGATAGGAGAGAGACCGGTGCGACTAAAAAGAAAATATTTGTGAAAAAAATATTTTTTACATTGCTACCGATAATAAATCAAAATGTTAAGGTTTAAGAAGATTCATTGGAGCTGAAAACTTTAGAATTGGATACCCTTTAAATCCTGATCGCTTAATCTCAATATTCACTGTGGAAACTTGTAAAAATACATATTTCATCAAATTTGAAGACTATGGTCCTTATGAACGTTAGTCTTGTTGAACATTAATCCAAAACTTATTTTCGTTTAATCGATCATTCATTAGTCCAATTTATGAAACCACAAATGCGGGAAAATTAAAAACCGGTATTTCACAAGTTAAAGAACACATCTCTAATCTTTAGAAATTAATTAGCAAAAAGAGGATAAAGAATTGATCTCGATGTCCACCATTCTGAAGTTTTCAGCTCAGTACACATTGCTTTAGTTGAAACCAGAGAAGTGAATAGAAGAGAATAGTGAATATAGACATATTAATCCATCTTTAAATAGTTATGACCGTTTGTCTGTCTGTTTGGATATCCGATCATAACTTAATAACCCCTTGACCGATTTTCCTCAAATTTTGATACGAGAGCTCAAAGAACCACGGAAATTTTCTTGGCAGTTTTAAAAAAATTCTTAGTTAGATAGGTAGATTTTTAGAGACGATTTTTTCTCCAGGTAAAACTGGGTTTCCAATCCCATACCAGTTTCATGATAAAAAAAAAGATTAGAAAGGAGAAGCTTTTAAAACCTCTTTTTTTCTGGGATTCATTGCGTGTTTTTTAATGAATATAAACACAATATACCTAATTGATGTATTTTTAATAATTGAATATCAATTAGTCCGCATAAATAATGCAAAAATGTATTGAAGCATAAATAATAAATGGACACTAAAATGTACGTCCATTGTGAGGACTATTAACCTGGGGGTGGAGGGGGGGGGGGGACTATTAAAAACAAAATTTAAGAATACCAAGCATTTAAGCCAGTTTTAAAGCTTTGGTTGATTATCGACATTCTTCTTTTTGGCCTTTTTGTTTTCTTATTTATACTTACTTGAGCATAAACTGAGAAGGCCAGTCCTCGGAGGATGTGCGAGGATCTTGGTGAGGATTTAAGAGGATTAGAATCCATTGGAGTTCGTTTCAACTCGTTCCCAAGAGAAAATATTGAGTCTAATGATATTGTCTGAAAACAAACAAAAAATATTGAAAAAGAATTCTGATGTTTCAATAATTAAGTAGGTTTTTAATTTAAACAATTTTTATTTGGTTTGTTTGAGGCTCTGATACTCCCCCCCCCNAAAAACATAAATACTGCTTAAAGGGACTGTAAGCGTAATTTCAAGTTTCCCTCCATTTAAAGATGGCAATAATGTCCGATTTACAACGGTAGCCTTGAAACCTTTATCTGATATAACATGTTTCTAAAATATCCACTATGCAGCGAAACCGGTAATGAAGACAAACAGATACTAAAACATGGATATCTATTATCTAATTAATACTTCATCATACAACGCTTTTAAGGGTACCATTGACAAATCGGAAATTGCAATCTTTACACGGGGGCTGACTTTAAATTATGCTTACCTTCCCTTTCAGTTGCAAGAACCTAATCTTTATAAAGTCCTATCCTGTCCTATTGGCGGTATGAAATGTTTCCCCTCCTATCTTGTCTTTCGTAAGTTTAAGAATAACCCGAAAAGCATACAAATTTGGAAACTTAATGATAATAAAGAAAATGTCTACTTAGTACTTAGGTAGAAAAATAAAAAAAATTAAAAATTAAATTAATTAAAATTTTGAGATTAATTGACCAACCTGCAGGTACAAAGATTGTCGGATAGATTCAGAGTTAATGTTTGGCACCATGTTGTTAAAGCATCTAAGATTATAACAAATTATTATTATTAGGAGACCAACCTGAAAACAGCTCTGCTTTGGCTGCTCTCCTTCCGTTGATAATTAATAGAAATCATATCAATATGTAATTTTTATGCACAACCTGTCATATTTTCAAGGGAAAAATAAATTATTAGATTAGATTAGATTTTTTTCCCCTAACATCATTTTTAAATAATTTATCAGTGACGGTGTTGACACTTCAGATTTAAGAGACTCCCGGCCATTCTTAATCAACATTTTAAACTCCTCCACCCAACCCCTTGCCAAATATTTTGGATATAAAAAAAATGTCACGGGCAATGGCTATTGCCTTAAACAATTTTTAGTTGAATCCTAAAAACCGTTTCTAGTAATCGCAATTCATTTTAATCCGGAACAAATAAACCAGAAAGAGATGCAAACCATTAGAATAATGCAATTAATGATTTTTCTAAAATCTGAAATTTGACAAAATAACTGAACAATTCTAATAATTCTTAGTTTTTCCTTAAAACACAAAATTCTCGTATTTAGGGATATGGTGATTGTAATGTATACTGTGTAGGTTAAGACATTTCTACTGAAAAAAAACCTTACTTCTCTTCTGACTTGGATGGTAAATTCTATTTCAAAAAGGCAGGTGAAAAACTTTATATTAAAAAATGTTGGAAACCTTTAAGCTTATTTCAGTGCTTAGGATCCATTTAATTTTGATGCGGATCCGGATCCGGATACTTGATCTGCACTGGAAAAAAATGGATCCGGATCCGGGCTATTTCTTTAAAATTTACTGAACTTTTTTAACAAAGCAGAAATTTTCAAGTATTGTCAATCTTATTCGCTTATTCTTATGCTAAATCTTAATGAACTATTCAGAAATCTTCTGAGGAAATTTTTATAATCTCTCTTTGTTGAATAGTTCAGATTTGAGTTTTGATAGTAAGTATTATTTTTTTGCAGTTTACGGTTGATGTTTTGCCCCTTGCATCCGGATCCGTGGATCCTCATATTTTTGCGGATCCAGATCCAGGAAGCCAAAATCTTTCGGATCCAAGGATTCAGATCCTAAGCACTGGCTTATTTCTAACTAAAATAATTTTGATGTTCAAAATGTTTAACAATCGCACGAAAACATACTTATCAAGTTATTTCCTTGTCAACTAGTTTACCTGAGAAGGGCTAGAGTGGAGAGTCGGACTAGTTCAGTATTATCGTTAACATAACTAATAGGATCCACCATATATATCACTATTGCCGGCGGTTCTATACTTTCATCCTAAAATAAGGTTAGTTTAGTGTCGTATTACTGAAACCAATGCAAAATGGAATGTTTGGACTTTTTTCCCGTTTTTCACAATGTCTAAAATGTCCCCTTTTTTATTATAAAATCATTGCCATGAAATATGTTTATATTTTTTAAAAGATATTTTCTAAAATGTGCTCTGAACAGTGAATAACCAAAAATCACAAAAATTTCTTTGACATTTTTTCAGATACAAATGAGAGAAGACAATCATTTAACAGCTTTCTGTTTACTAATTTACTTTAAACGACACTATTGAAAACCACCTGAACTAGATCAATTCAATTCATTAACTTAATCTGTCAAACAGAATAAAATTGGATTAGTGCTTTCTGAAGGAATTAAAAATACAGAACTTTCGATCTCAGCAAATATACTTTTTTTTCTGTTATTCTTAGTTTACTCTGGTCCTTTTAAGAGATTTTAAGTATATGCGTATTTGAAATCTCTCTCCAAGCCATCTTTTCATATTTTTCTATTTTTTAATTTTTTTTTTACTCATTTACTCATTTATGCTCACTTGCTCACTTGCTCACTTGCTCACTTGCTCACTTGCTCACTTGCTCACTTGCTCACTTGCTCACTTGCTCACTTGCTCACTTGCTCACTTACTCATTTACTCATTTACTTATTTTTTTATTTACTTATTTTTCTCCCTCGGATTTGTTTACCTCGATGAGCTCCTGAGTATTCTCTTTAAGTATCTCTTGCCCCTCTTCATTGACCTCTATGGTGGCAGGGGCGGGGCCCCTGAGCAGGGAGGAGTCGTGGGATAGAGAGGACAGGTAGGGAACAAGGTAGTGTCGGCACACCTACATACAACAGAATATTATTTTACTAATTAAAATGAAAACATCATAAAAGTTCATTCTAATCCCCCATTATAAAAACATTTCTGAGGCCGAATGTAAAGAATTTGAGCCGCGGCTTAAATTTAAGCCGCAACTCAAATATGGTTGGTTCCATTTAAAATTGTATTATTTTTTTTAAAGATTTAAGCCGGCGCTCTATTGAAACCGGTTTTTGGGGGATTTGAGACGCGGTTTAAATTTATTAAATTCGGACACGGATGAACTAGGAAAATACTATTTTTTTGTCCATAAAATATCTAGTAATTTCAAGAATTACACCAGATTTTTATGATCGGGAAAAAATAATGTTTAAAGAGCGTAAATCTAACCTTAGAGTACAGTCTGAGTATATCTGCGTTCTGTGAGTCTCCGATACAATGAAACCAATCCTCGACATCAACTTCAGATTCAAGTCTAGAGGCCTGCTTAGATCCAACACGCAGGATACCATCACGGATAGACTATACAGATAGATATATCAATCAATCAATCAGCACTGTGATATTCATTAAACATCAAATAATCAATCAAATATAGATTAAAAATCAATGAAAAATCAACCAATTATCAATCAATCAGCTAATAAATAATCCAATCAATCAATAAATGGGTCAATCAAATCAAATTATCGCCCAAAAAATTCCATTGATTATCAGTAAGCAAATTAATTTGATCAGTCAATCAATAGACAAATTAATCAATCTCTCAAACCACTCAATTTTAATGGCCATTTAACCAATTATTCATTCAATCAATCAACGAGACGGAGCATTGCACTATATCACATCATAAAATGAACTTGACTATCCTTACCTTGGTAACAGGTACATGTTTTCCCAGTTTGAGTATAGAGTAGGTGTTACTAAGGTTTTTAAAGAATGTTTTCACGTTGGAGAGAATATATTCATTGTCAGGAGCAACCACGATATACGCAACATCCCTGAACATGATCGTTTTCATTTTCAAAAAAAAAAGAAAATTAGCCACAGATCTAAATTTCTAATACCCCTAGATCTGTGCAACCACATGTCGTAGACCTTATTATTGATAGTATAAATCTCTCTCTTAATCAAATGTTATTAGGTTTAAAATATCAAAAAGATTCACTAGCGGTTGCTAAGACATTTTTTGTCTGAAAATACAGTTAACGTTACTTAAATATTCCCCTGCCCAGCGATAAAACTCCTGAAAGAATAAGATTTTCAAATAGACTTGAGTAAAATTACAAAAATAGCGTTGAAAATATGGATTTCATTAACAGGAAACCGGATTTATAAATTTGAGCTAGAACTTTAGGAGAAGGTTCAGCCACGTTCTTGAATCACTGATTCATCAAGATTTGTTCATGTCCTATAGATAAAAACTTAGCATCCTCACTACAGATAAGTAGTTGAATCGACAGTAGGTAGTTAAGGGATCTGGCTAAAATTCATTAGTTTTCCTACCTCTGTGGACCCCAAGGTTCCAGGGATAGACTATCCCAGTGATAAAGGGAGAGAGGAGATACGCTCACCCACTCAGATTCGAACCCAACCATGAGAGTTGGTATTGGCAGCGGCTCACAACCATCGTCAGTATTCCCTTTAGTTGTAACTCCAGCCATTCTGAATACATCGAGCATTATTATAATTTTAAACATCAATTTTTTTTAAAAAAAGGACAAGGTAAAGATAGAAGATATAATATCTAAGATTTTTATTATTAATTTCCCCCCCCCCCCCATTTTTATAATATTTTTATTTAAATCAACAGAAACCTTTACGTACATAAATTTTTCAAAGAAATTGCGGTTGATTGTAAAAAAATGAATTATTTTAAAATTCAAATTGATTTGATTTTTTATAGAGGAAAAACATTTATTCAACTTCCACTGAGGAAAACCGAAAATCAATTTTCAGATGTATTTCATTCATATAAAAAACAACTTCTACCCTTTATCAAACTTATCCTAACATTCCTTTAGATTATTTCACATGACAAGCAAAAATTAGAAAAATAAGTCAGAAAATGATGATCTATTGATATTTTATGCAAAGACATAATATTTTTTTTAAATAATTTTTTCCCTTTCCAAACCAATTTTATAAAAAAAATTACCTATGAAACTGCCTCCAGGTAAGTGGACCCTCCACAGTGAGTTGGGTATCACTCCCTTTCCGTTTATGTAAACTAGTATTTAACTCCGGCATCAATACTCTCATAACTCTTAACAGTAAATATGTAAACAAGTATTTAACTCCGGCATCAATACTCTCATAACTCTAAACAGTAAATATGTAAACAAGTATTTAACTCAGACATTAATACTCTCATAACTCTAAACAGTAAATATGTAAACAAGTATTTAACTCCGGCATTAATACTCTCATAACTCTAAACAGTAAATATGTAAACTAGTGTTAAACTCAGGCATAATACTCTCTTAACTCGAAACAGTTAATATGTAGACTCGTGTTAAACTCGGGCAAAATACTCTTAAATCTTAACAGTTAATATGTAAACTAGTGTTAAACTCAGGCATAATACTCCCTTAACTCTGAACAGTTAATATGTAGACTCGTGTTAAACTCGGGCAAAATACTCTTAAATCTTAACAGTTAATATGTAAACTAGTGTTAAACTCAGGCAAAATACTCCCTTAACTCTGAACAGTTAATATGTAACTAGTATTTAACTCAGACATTAATACTCTCATAACTCTAAACAGTAAATATGTAAACTAGTATTTAACTCCGGCATTAATACTCTCACCCTCTTAGCAGTAATAGTTAGAAGAATCTACATTATATTTATAAAAACGGAGAATGTAGATTTCCCTCAGTTCTAAATTTAATTTAATTGCATGAACAATAACAATTAATTAAAGAATGAATGATAAAAATCACGTTTAACGTTTTATTTTTATTATTTTGCGTTTTTGACTTCATAATTATATTGTTCATAAACTGTTTTGTTACTTTATTTAAGAAAATTATTATATTAATCAGAACTGCGAAATATCTCAAAGCCTGACTAGCCCAGTGTCCAGTTTGGCCGAAATCCCGGTTTTGAACTTATTACACCTGTATTGTTCTATTGAAAGCTTTAACTCTCAAAGTAATAGTTAAACCCAACTCAGTAACTTTCTGTTTGTTTGTTTGTTGTTGATAAAAGTCAAACCGGCAGAACCAATCGGCCCCAAATTTTGTGTGTGAGCTCACATGACCCCAAGGAAGGTTTATGGAGCATAAAAATTGGAAAAAAAACCTGGAAAAGGTAGATTTTTTGTTGAAAAGGCGCCAATTCGAAGAAAAAAGTCCGCCAAATTTTGAAAATGATTTTAAATAGCCGACTTTCAGAGCACAACGGAGGAGCGCCCTAAAAGCCTACTATATATAAAAGATTCTTAACAAACCTGACAATATCCTCGCTCGAGGGCGGGCCTAGAGTTGGCATAATGGCCCACTTGTGTAGACAGCCGGCCTTACTTGCTGTATCTAGTTCTCGGCTCTCACACGCTGACCCTGCTCGCACAGCCTCTATAGCAGACCAGATCACCTAAAAGAATAACACTTTAGAGAGAACTTAATGGTTTGTACTAGCGGAAGGGTCCGGCGTAACCCAGAGAATTTTTTTTAAAAATTTTAAATTTAAAAATTTTGAAAAAAGTAATAAATCGATTTTTTTAGACTTTAACAACCCCGGTTACCCATGAGTGTCCACAAAGAATTTCAGCCCATTCGGTCCAGCCGTTTGGCCGGCTGTAGACAACATATTTATGAATGTCTTGTTTTATTGTTTAGAAGATATTAATTTCCAGGAGTACAGGTTCTCGTGTTTGCAGGAGACTGACGGGTACCTGGATTCCGGTTTTCATGTACCCGGATTTTCCTCATAATTCTCGAGCATTCTTTACTTTCTTATTGATTCAAATTATTTCTGCTACAACATCTTAAATTTTAAATGTGGATAAGAGAAATTTTAATTTAATAATGAACTTAAAAACTAACAAGTCAGTCAAAATAATTAAGATTGATTTTTCGAAAATGAACTGGCGCGGAATTAGCTTTTACATTAATTCGATCTAGAAGAAATAGGAATAGTTTTTACTTAACAAAAAATCATAATATTGAGAATAAGAATTTTTTTATTTTGTGATAAAAAACATGAAGAAATAAGAGTAAATCGTATTGTAGGCCTTAACCCTATTCCTGCTGGGGGGGGGGGTCAATTTGACCCCCCTGTAGTTTTTTTACATAACTCAAATAGTATTGGTCTGAGGCTGTTGAAATTTTCTGACTTTTCCTACATACCCAAAGCCCTCCCTTTAGGCATGAAAAAACTGAAATATTAAATTTTTACAATTAAACAAAACGTTTTAACAATGACTTAAGAAGACAGAAAAATAAAGTTCAATAGCAATTCTCTTGAGCATATCAGCAAGATTTCTATATATAGAGTTGTAATCTCTGTTTGTCTGCTAGTTTGTCCAATCATAACACAGGAACCCCTGGACCAATTTGCCTAAAATTTTTATTGGGGAACTCGGGAGACCCCGTGGAATGTTCTTAGCTTGGTTTTAAAATTCTAAGTTGAGTGGATCGACTTTTATTTCGAAAGGGGAGGGGGCATAAGTTCGGGAAATTTAAACAGTGTTTAAACAAAACTTAGCATTGTCGTAAGACGCTCATTTTTTGCATGCGAACTCAATAATATGTGTTGTAACTGCAAAATGCAATTTCAAATAGAACTTTAATAGTTTCCAGGCAAAGCTGAGTTTCTAAATTAGTTTAATACCTCTGCACCATCTAAAGCTTCCACCACAGATATTTGAGCTTGATTTCTCATGGTTCGATGGAATTGCCTAGATAACAGGACACCAGGTCAAATAAGTATTTTAGCAGAAATCCGAAAAATGGGAAAATTTCAAGAAAATTTTTTCATTCTCGCGTAAAATCTTGATATTTAAATAGACTCGCATGTCAAATCAAATCAAATCAGAGTTTACTAGTCACATAACAACTTCAAGTCAAAAAAAAGTTAAGATGCAAAAAAAATTCCTTACATAATGGGGAAAACTCTTGTTTGCAGTTGATTAGAGGGTGATGATTACAAAAATATTATATAAATATGACAAAATATAAAATAATTTAGTTTGATCTGGAGTTCCTTGAGAATCTGACGAGAGTATTTTCATCACTGGGAAAGAGTGAGACTTGTTTTTGAACAAGATCCACGAGAAACTGAGGAGTATCATCAACGATCTCGCTCCGCTCGTTGAAGGACTGCTCCCCCTGCTCCTGGGATTTAGGGTCTAGGAGGAGAAGAGATGGTTTCTTTTTGAAATAAACATCTTCCTGGATACCTGTCACCTCTCGCTCATCTTCCAGAAACATACCACAAAGATAACTTAGCTTCCTAACAAAATAAAGAAATTAAATTCAGAAAATCACAATTTTCATTCTTAAAGGGACTCTGACGTGTTTAGTGGAGACTACGAATCTTCCACAATATTGATCAGATAAAGGTTTTAAGGAAACTATTTTGAAACAGAAATTCCCTTCTTTGACAGGACATTGACTTAAACCGACCGGCTCATTCATTAAGAACAGTAACAAAGGTACTACGCGATAGAAAGGGGAAATCCAGATGAATGGACAAAAATTAACTGACACCGTTCATAAAACAATTTCAATGTAAAAAAAATTGTCAAAATTGTAAGAGGGATATTTTTCGATCATCATTATAAACAAATGTTTTACTAATAAAATACAGGGGGGGGAGGGGGAGCGGTGAGGTTGGGTAAAGGTTTCTCACAAATATTGTGAAAGTCGAATTAATTTCACCAGTCATGTATTTTAATTTAGAAACGTAAGTTACCAGGAACATGTCTTGAATAATTTATTATCATATGAATTCTATATATATAATATATATATAAATTTATATTTGGGGAGGGGTGGGGATGAGAGGCAGGGGTTTATAATTTTTAGAATTATCAAGGCTCCTAAAATCATAAAATTCTCCCAAATATAGCGAAGACCATCCTTGAAAATGTTGGTGCGCCCTAACTAGAAAATCTTTTCAAAGAGAGGGGAGGAGGATTTTTTTTTAAAATAAACCCTGGGGGGGGGGTTAGGGGGGTCAACTGACCTGTTTATTACTGCTGAGTATCCACATTTACAATCATAATCTTCATCACTATTTATATCCGGGAGATAGAGTAAACTTTCTCCCCCACGGATATTTCCATCATTTGTGCAGCACACGCACATTGTACAGGAGTTGTAGTTTATATCACGGTACAGGTTGAGTAACGAATCACTTAGCACAAGGTTGACCGTCAGGCTGTTGGCCGTCTGGGTCACAGTACTTAAAGGTGTTGCCGCATTTTTCACTGCGGGCGAAGCTAAGGACGGCGGGCCCACGGACCGGGGTCCAACACTCGGCGGGCCCACGCTGCCCGGCCCGGCGTTGGATTTGGGACATTCAAGGCTAGCGGCGGGGGAAATTGGACTGAGGCCTGGTCTGGGGGGTCCAGAGGCCCCCGAGGAGGGCTGAGGGTAACTACCGTTGCTAGAGCAGAAATCCTAAAATTTAAAATAAATTTTGCATAGGTATAGAAAACTTCAAAATATCAATATTTAAGAACAACAAAATTGGAAGTAAAAAATACTTTTAGGGCTTAAACAACACAAAGTTATGGGACAGATTTTTTAAAAAACGAGACCAAGTTGTCTACTCGGTTCAATTACTTCTTGTTATTAATTAAATCTGGTGTATGGGGGATTTTAATTTTGAAGCGGGTATATTGGGAAATAATTCTGGTAAATATAATATTTTAGGTTTTAAATATATATTTAGGAAGATACTTCAAGAATATATAATAAAAAGTTTGAAAGCCCTAAATAACTCTGGTTTCAACACAATGAACTGTAGGACAAATATTGAATATCAATTTCGTTTTCAAACTTCTCTACTGAAACTCGAAACTCGAAGCTGGGAAACTAGATTTTATTTTATCTTATATCCAAAATATATAAATCCACCCCCTTCTACGAAACTGTTTATACCCACCTAAGTAATAAATAAACATAAAAGTTTTTAAAGAAAAAATTGTCGAATAACATAAAACCCATAAAGGCTTGTTATTAAAATCAAATTTTCAAGAGAGTAGAAAAAAAAACAATTAAGACTCTGATATTCAAACAAACAACATAAAAAACTATTATTCATTTCAACACCGTAGATAATTTCCCAGGGGATGCGGGGCGGGGCAGGGGGGTTGGATTGGAGAAGTAAAAATAGGACATCTACTGGGAAGTTTTTCCCGGGGG